CTGGGTTAATCTTTTTCACGTTTCCTTGGTTGGTAGATGCACTGGGGACCTGATTATAGCACTTAAAACCTGGAAAAGTCTGTTTCTGCACATATGTGTCCCTGGAGCACAAAAGCAGTCTTAAGTCGCTGGGGTCGCTGGGGTATATTTGTAGCAATAGCCAACAATACATTGTATGGGTCAAAATTATAGATTTTTCTTTTATGCCAAAAATCATTAGGATATTAAGTAAAGATCATGTTCCATGAAGATATTTTGTAAATTTCCTACCGTAAATATATAAAAACGTAATTTTTGATTAGTAATATGCATTGCTAAGAACTTAATTTGGACAACTTTAAAGATGATTTTCACAATATTTAGATTTTTTTGCACCCTCAGATTCCAGATTTTCAAATAGTTGTATCTCAATTTGTCACCTTGACGGACAGGTGATCCTCCCAGTTGTTAGTCAGACTCTTGTAGAACTCGCCATACTCCTCGTTAGTGATGTCGTCAGGGTTGCGGGTCCACAGGGGTTTGGTCTTGTTGAGCTCCTCCTGGTCGATGTACTTCTCCTTGATCTTTTTCTTCTTCTTCTTCTTGTCGGAGCTCTTGTCATCATGGTCCTCGTCGTCGGAGCCCACGTCTTCGATCTCCGGCTTATCCTCGTCCTTCTCCTCCTCCTCATCCTCCTCTTTCTCTTTCTCCTCCTCTGCCTTGTAATTTATATACATTTTTAACTTAATTTTTTTAATGTAAAAAAACCCCATTAGATTTAATAAATATAAATAAATTTAATAAATATAAAAAAACATAAAAAAGGATATATTACAAATACTTAATTAGTATATTTAAGAAATATTTAAAAAATAAATAATTTGTTTAGAAGCGTGTCATTTATCAACAACAGAGAAGCATAGACATGCGAATGTGTTGCTAAATTATTGAAATATTCTATATAATATATATCTATAATATATAACTCCAGGGAGACTTCAAGTGATTATTTTAAGTCAAAGTGCCTTATTTTTTTCATTTACGTTCTGTAGAATGACCTAAAAGCCACTTACAAAGAGTGTGATGGGGTAGCTGATGAACTGCGAGTGCTTCTTCACGATCTCTTTGATTCGTCGCTCTTCGATGTTCTCCGTCTGATCCTCCTTCAGATGCAGGACCACTTTTGTGCCTCGACTCGGCTCGGCTACAGAAAGAGCAACATCTCCATTAAAGGGATAATTCACCCAAAAATTTAAATTATGTCATTAACTCCGAGAGCTCTCTGACCCTCCATAGACAGCAATGCAACTGAAATGTTCCCAAGTCCAGAAACGTAGCAAGGAGATCTGTAAAATAATCCATGTGACATCAGGGGTTCATCCGCAATTATACGAAGCTACGAGAATACTTTTTGTGCATAAAAGAAAAAAAAAAACGACTTTATTTAACAATTCATCTCCTCCGCATCACCCTGTAATGCCATTTTGGAGAATATCAGCTGGACGTAAACAGTAGCCTTGCCGCGATAGACGGTGCTGACGGTGATACCATTGTTAAGCCCCAACACCGGTTACGACACTTGCCCACCGCGGCACCGACTCCCACCGTTGTTTTGATTTTTTATAGTAATAAAAATCATTGAGACAGACAAGATTATCGCTGATGATTTAGTTTCGAAACGAGATGCAAAAGCGCCTGTTTGGCAGTATTTTGGATTTTGAAAAGCCTGTTGACTTTTGCCGTTTATCTAAGGTGATTTTGGAAGTTTTTTTAAACATCCGTTTCTTATTTAATTGGTTCCACATTGTTTGCTGATTTTTACTTTATTTAAACTTGGTGTCATTTATTTATTTTATTTGACATCAAGGTGTATGCCGTCTGGGTTAATCTTTTTCACGTTTCCTTGGTTGGTAGATGCACTGGGGACCTGATTATAGCACTTAAAACCTGGAAAAGTCTGTTTCTGCACATATGTGTCCCTGGAGCACAAAAGCAGTCTTAAGTCGCTGGGGTCGCTGGGGTATATTTGTAGCAATAGCCAACAATACATTGTATGGGTCAAAATTATAGATTTTTCTTTTATGCCAAAAATCATTAGGATATTAAGTAAAGATCATGTTCCATGAAGATATTTTGTAAATTTCCTACCGTAAATATATAAAAACGTAATTTTTGATTAGTAATATGCATTGCTAAGAACTTAATTTGGACAACTTTAAAGATGATTTTCACAATATTTAGATTTTTTTGCACCCTCAGATTCCAGATTTTCAAATAGTTGTATCTCAATTTGTCACCTTGACGGACAGGTGATCCTCCCAGTTGTTAGTCAGACTCTTGTAGAACTCGCCATACTCCTCGTTAGTGATGTCGTCAGGGTTGCGGGTCCACAGGGGTTTGGTCTTGTTGAGCTCCTCCTGGTCGATGTACTTCTCCTTGATCTTTTTCTTCTTCTTCTTCTTGTCGGAGCTCTTGTCATCATGGTCCTCGTCGTCGGAGCCCACGTCTTCGATCTCCGGCTTATCCTCGTCCTTCTCCTCCTCCTCATCCTCCTCTTTCTCTTTCTCCTCCTCTGCCTTGTAATTTATATACATTTTTAACTTAATTTTTTTAATGTAAAAAAACCCCATTAGATTTAATAAATATAAATAAATTTAATAAATATAAAAAAAACATAAAAAAGGATATATTACAAATACTTAATTAGTATATTTAAGAAATATTTAAAAAATAAATAATTTGTTTAGAAGCGTGTCATTTATCAACAACAGAGAAGCATAGACATGCGAATGTGTTGCTAAATTATTGAAATATTCTATATAATATATATCTATAATATATAACTCCAGGGAGACTTCAAGTGATTATTTTAAGTCAAAGTGCCTTATTTTTTTCATTTACGTTCTGTAGAATGACCTAAAAGCCACTTGTGTGATGGGTGATGGGGTAGCTGATGAACTGCGAGTGCTTCTTCACGATCTCTTTGATTCGTCGCTCTTCTCCGTCTGCCGTCTGATCCTCCTTCAGATGCAGGACCACTTTTGTGCCTCGACTCGGCTCGGCTACAGAAAGAGCAACATCTCCATTAAAGGGATAATTCACCCAAAAATTTAAATTATGTCATTAACTCCGAGAGCTCTCTGACCCTCCATAGACAGCAATGCAACTGAAATGTTCCCAAGTCCAGAAACGTAGCAAGGAGATCTGTAAAATAATCCATGTGACATCAGGGGTTCATCCGCAATTATACGAAGCTACGAGAATACTTTTTGTGCGTAAAAGAAAAAAAAAACGACTTTATTTAACAATTCATCTCCTCCGCATCACCCTGTAATGCCATTTTGGAGAATATCAGCTGGACGTAAACAGTAGCCTTGCCGCGACAGACGGTGCTGACGGTGATACCGTTGTTAAGCCCCAACACCGGTTACGACACTTGCCCACCGCGGCATCGACTCCCACCGTTGTTTTGATTTTTTATAGTAATAAAAATCATTGAGACAGACAAGATTATCGCTGATGATTTAGTTTCGAAACGAGATGCAAAAGCGCCTGTTTGGCAGTATTTTGGATTTTGAAAAGCCTGTTGACTTTTGCCGTTTATCTAAGGTGATTTTGGAAGTTTTTTTAAACATTCGTTTCTTATTTAATTGGTTCCACAGTGTTTGCTGATTTTTACTTTATTTAAACTTTGTGTCATTTATTTATTTTATTTGACATCAAGGTGTATGCCGTGCCTCCAAGCTTTCTTACTCGTTTTGCTAATAAACTTTCTACGCTTCTTAACCTATTTATTTCGTTATATATTATACATATTTCTACTTATTTCCAGTTTTGTATAGGCTACCTATTTAAACTTTATGTAAGTTATTTGTTATTTTATATTAGGCATAGCCTGCCCTATAGCATGGTGTATTTTTATTCGTTTTGTTAATGAAAGTTCTGTTTTATATATAGGCTAAAGTGATTTTGTTGTTGCATTCAAGCAATTGACGCCGAATTTCCGCTAATTCGAAAGTGAAAGTAAAATGCGCACGGTGCTTTTAAGCTATTTAAAATGAAGGAAAGCTAAAAAAAGAGGGAAAATTCAAACGAACAATTGCTTTTTGCCGAATTGCCGGTATTTGAAAGTGAAAGTAAAATGTGCACGCCGCTTTTGTGATACTGGTATTATCGGTGTTGTCACACGTCGATTAACTGGTGGGAAAATTTCCTCACCGTCACAACCTTAGTAAACAGCATATGCTGTTCTGTGTCAGCTGCGTCACACGGATCTGTTTTCAACCGTAATTTTACGAAGCTACGAGAATACTTTTTGTGCGCAAAAGAAATCTGGATCTGTTTCCTACGTTGTTGTGATTTGATCTGAACGGGAACAGTGGGTCCGTGTGGCGCAGCTGACACAGAACAGCATACGCTGTTTACTTCCAGCTGATATTCTCCAAAATGGCATTACAGGGTGATGCGGAGGAGACGAATTGTTAAATAAAGTCGTTTTTTTTTTCTTTTATACACAAAAAGTATTCTCGTAGCTTCGTATAATTGCAGATGAACCCCTGATGTCAAATGGATTATTTTACAGATCTCCTTGCTACATTTCTGGATTTGGGAACATTTCAGTTGCGTTGCTGTCTATGGAGGGTAAGAGAGCTCTCGGATTCCTTCAGAAATATCTTAATTTGTGTTGCGAAGATGAACGAAGGTCTTACAGGTTTG